GGGAGAATAGAGAGGAAATGAGAGAAGAGAAAGAAAAAGCTCGGATTTTGAGGCTACGTTGCAATTTTTGTTAGTCGTACGAGTTGAGATATTTGCTTGTCTCACTGCAAGGAATCCATACTCTATTTTTTATTTCAAAGATTATGTATTTTTAATATTTTTTTGATTAAATTTGTGTTTTCATTACCGAAAAATGTGATATACATAATTTATTAACCATGTGATTGAGATATTGAGCTTGAAAATGAGATACTGATTTATTACTAATATATAATAACTGGATAACATGTGAACACTCTTATATGATTTTACTACATATTTTGCTACATTAATTTGATTTCAACTATCTTTTCTAATGTTTTGATTTGATGTTTTATCAGATTTCTTTACTGATTGGTATTACGAATAAGACGATTGTTTTATAGATTTGACACTTATACTAGTTTACTACTTTACTAGCTTTTATACTATAGTATTTTAGTGTTTATAAATTATATTACTATTGTGTTTGAATTTTACTATTTTTATATTGATTCAATGATTATATGAATGCAACTGTTATGATTTGACTGTTGACATACATATTGCTCCTTTGCCGTGTTTTGAATTCAATTATAAGTTTTGGTGACCTGTTGGGCTTTTTAAGCTCATTATATGTGGCTAAATGATTTCAGGTCAGGGTATGGGAGCAGGATTGTGAGGATGGTCAAGATTCTTTAGGTTCTATTTCTTTTAGTTATTCTTTTGTACTCTGGATAAAACGATAATTATGTAGACCCTGAGTATTATATGTGATTTTTTTGGAAATGAATATAGATGTGTATATTGATGTTTTAAATTTTATAATATGTTGTACTGTTTATTACTGATAGATAATATTAAATAGTTATGATTATTGTTTATTAAAAGATTAAAAGAATAATTCTTCCTATTTAGATTTTGAGGCATCAAAATTGATATCAAAGCATAGTTGTTGGAAGAATTGATTGTTACTATAGCCGTAGGAATTAATTGAGAGTTGAGTAAAATGGGTAGTTTAAGGTGTATTAGTTAACATACATAACTGAATGACATTTTATAGAATGAATTGCACGACTGTAAGAGTTCTTGATGAGTTTTGATTTGTATTTGATTTAATTTATGATTTGATATGAATTTGGTTTATATCAATTTTATGCTCGAATCCTTAAGGAAAATGTCGGGGACGACATTTTATTGAGGTGAGTAGATTGTAATAATCCGTATTTCAATTTTGTCATGTTTTTTGAGTCATAATAACTCCAAATCACAATCCGTCTTCGCTATGATATTTTGATCGAAGTATTTTACTTACATAAATTTTTTCGTAATTTTTGTACACTGGTGAAAATCCTTAAGGAATTAGTACATATCGGTATAATTGAGAATTTTGGGACCATTAAGTGTCCGTTTTACAAACCGACTTCATCGATATTTTTTAAATAACATGGTTTATTTTATGGATATTTTTCTATACATTTTGAAGTCCAAAAATAATTTATTTAAATTTTATTCTAAAGAATTCATTTAATTAAATATTAAATAAATATTATATTATTATAAATATCCTAAGTCACTAAGATATTTTATTAAAAAAGCTTTTTAGTTTTCTTTTCCCTCATGATTTCGGCTAACAGAGAGCCATTAGGGAGAATAGAGAGGAAATGAGAGGAAAGAAAGAAAAAGCTCATATTTAGAGGCTACTATGCGATTTTCATCAGTCGGGCCAATTGGAATTTTTGCTCATCTCACTGTAAGGAATCTATACCCTATTTCTAATTTCAATGATTTTATATTTTTAATATTTTTCTGATTAAATTTGTATTTCCGGTACCAAAAAATATGATATACAGAATTTATTGAGCATGTGATTGAGATATTGAGCTTGAGAATAAGATATTGATTTAATGATGATATACACTAACTGGATAGAATGTTAACACTCTTATATGATTTTACTTCATTGATTTAATTTCAACTATCTTTACTTATGTTTTGATTTGATGCTTTATCTGATTTCTTTACTAATTGATATTACGAATACGATGATTGTTTTATAGATTTGACACTCATATTGGTTTACTGCTTTACTAGCTTTTGTACTATAGTATTTTAGTATTTATAGATTCTTCTACTAATGCATATAAATTTTACTGTTTCTACATTGATTCAATAATCATACGAATATAACTGATATGATTTGACTGTTGACATGCAGATTGTTCTTTTGCCGTACTTTCAATTCAGTTATAGGTTTTGGTGAACTACTGAGCTTTTTAAGCTCATTATATGAGGTTAAATGATTTCATGTCATGGCAGGTGAGTAGGAGTGTGAGGTTGGTCAGGATTCTTTAGGTTCTATTTTTTAGTTATTCCTTTGTACTAGTGATGATTGTGTAGATCCTGAGTATTGTATATAATTTTTTAATAATGAATATAGATGTGTATATTGATGTTTTAAATTTTAGAATCTGTTGTACTGTTTATTACTAATATATGATATTAGACATCTCTAGTTATTATTTATTAAAAGGTTAAAAAAATAATTATTCCAATTTAGATTCCGGAGCATCACGTACATATACGGTCTCTAGATCTTGTATGAGTGTGATTATATTTTGTAGCCATGAGTTAGTACATTTTTATTTTATTTTATTTAGATCTTAAATAATTTTTTTTCTTTTTCATTACCTTCTATAAGCAAATATATAATCTCTCACCTTTTTAATGAAAAAAAAAAATTCAATATTTCATTATTAAAATTTGGTTAAGATGAGTTTAAAAATTATTGGATAATCATTGAAAATAGTAAAATATATAAGTAATTAATTAAAAATTATATTACACTAATCTCAAATTAAATCTAATGAATTTTTAGTTTCATTTTAATCAAATTTAAATCAAAAACCTAATCCAAAATTGAACCATCCTATAAGACCTTCATAGTTACATAACAATACTCATAAATAAGCTTTCTCAAACATTTACAAAAACACTTAATGAATAAAAACATCTGACTAATGCATATTTTAACATATATCAAACTTAAAAACAAAAAAAATAAATAAAATAAAAAAAAACATATATCAAGCTTCCTATAAAACTATTGTATGGTGTCCCTTCAATGTCTATTTCTTAAGATTTTAGCTTATAAAATGCTCTCTATTAAATTTGTTTCCTTTTCCATTGGGAGAAATGCCATCTTCTTAAGTCTTCAAAGTGAATCTATCAATAACTCAATTAATATAATAAGTTCTAGATCAACCCCTTAATTTCTTGTATTTTATCTCTTTGAATTTTGAAACTAAGCACAAAATTAGCTCTTCTAACATCCTTAATCTAAAAATTCTTCGCTAGCATTTGATTAGCCTCACGAAGAAAATCCAATTCATAGCTTGACATATAACACCAAGAACATAAATTTTCTTCGTGCTTAGCGTCACGAAGAAAATTCAATTCTTTTTATATCATCGAAAGCATGACGATCTAACATGACTCTCAAAGATTATCTATTAAATTTTTCATCTTTTGATCGAAAAAATTTGAGACATCTAGTAAATATAATTAACAAAGTGCCTCCCATAGTCTAATTAACATTGATTTTACTAATATTAAACTTCCATAATTACAATTCCAACTTTTTTATATATAACACACATAAAAATATCATGCTACTTACAAAGCTAATGCTAAAAAAATTAATATTTCATATGTGCAAATCTTAGACAACTTTAATATTAAATATATCACTAATATTTTTCATTCAAACCATCTGGATCACCCTATAAATTTTAATATTTCATTCTTTGTATTCATATTTGATTTATGGGTGATAGTCATAAAATATTAAAAATTTGATAGATAAATATCATAATATGAAGTGGTATATATGTAAATACAAAAAAGAAACATAATAATTCATAATAATAATATCCTTATCATATACCACCATGCACAACTTATCCCACCCCTTCACCTCTTGCTCTCAAGAAGTGATGTCATGAATACTCTTCCTCTTGCTCTCCTTCTTCACATTCTGCCTCAGATAAAACTTCTGCGCGTGGCTCGCCACCTGAGTCGGCGTCCTCGTCTTCACCGCCCATCTCGATATATTCCTCCAATCCCCTCTCCCAAATCTCTCCAGCCCCTCCAAAAACCTCCTACAAATTTCCCCCAAAATCAATCATCAATCCCAAAACGGCCTAATCCACCGCAAATCAAAATCAATCCTCAACAGAAAAACATACCTGTGCTCATCCTCCGTCCACGGAACCCCTTTCCTCCTCCCATCCTTCGCCGGCTGCTGATCCGGCGATCGGCCGATGGGATCGTCCTCGTCTTCATCATATTCGGGCAGATCGAATCCGCCTGAATCGATGAGGGCGATGTCGTGGAGAAGGGCGATGTAATGGAGATGGATGTCTTCCGGCGACTTGCTCGGGATCTGCGACGCGATCCGAAGCCAACGGTCCGGGGTTTCGTCCGGCATGTCGACGAGGGCTTTCTCGAACGCCTTGTTCTCCTCCGGCGTCCAGTTCGCCCGATTCGTCGGGATGTTGCCGGAGCCGGTGGCGATGTGCTGGTGGCTGCCGTTCATGTCTGCGTTCGAAGAGTAATGTCGAATGCTGATAGCGAGATGTCGGGATGGTGCTCCGCATGGACACCGCACCGGGCGGCTATTTAGAGCAAAATCTTCGTCGGTGGGAGCTGATATCGGAACTCCCACTTTAATCATCTTATATTAACTTAATTTTATTTTATTTATCTCGAAATAAATTTAATAATTTTACAATATAGTATAATAAAAATATATATCATATGATATACCAAGCAACTTTTTTTATGTATTAATTTTTTTAAATGAAATGAGCTTCATTATATTATTAAATAATTATTTGTCGGTAGTTTTATAATCAATTTTATAAAAAAGTTACAATCATCCCAAATGGACCCTACAAGGCTATTAATTTGCTTTAAAAAAATGAATGTAGTAAAAAGCTCAGTAAAGATGGTGGTCGATAGCAACAGAGAAATTATTCTGTGTGGAGATTGGGCACAGCTCTGCATCTGAAGACAAATCAAGTGTAGTCACGTCAGCGGTATCGAGCCGCAGTACCGAACCACGATATACAAAATGAAGTGATGTGTCACATTCTAATTGGCCTCCGGACTACGTTCGACGTTCAAAGGGCAAGTGGAAGTCCCCATCAAAATTGGAGTAAACTTGCGATATATTTTAAATTTTGATTTGAATTTATCAAAAACAAATTATAAATATGAATTTGAAAAACACCAAAACTTTTTAAATATATGTATGGCATATTTAACGCTCATATTTTATCAAATTAAAAACCCCTAAATGAGTAATTTGAAAAAAGAAAAAGTAATTTAAAAAATGAGCAAACAAATAAAATAAAATTGTTGAACAAATTAATTGAATAAATAATTATGATTGAGGAAGGTGCATAAGTAATATTTTTTATGGCCTGCAGGTATCAGAGGACAAGACGCAAACGTTCGCTTGTGGCGGCGTAGTGGATAAGCATTGTAGCGGGAATGCACACGTGTAAGCCACGACGGGAGAGCAGATTTCGAAGGTCGTAATATGCAAATCTCAGCCGTGCTTTTTGGATCAGATGGATGTGAGGATCACGGCGTGGGCGGCTGGCTGATTGCGACGCCTTGCTATAATGTTCGGATTTTGTTTCCAATTGGACCCTTACACTCCGAACTCCAATTTCAACTAATTTATAATCAAATTGAATGTTTATGTGAAGAGTATAACTACATTAGAATTGATCCAATCCGAACACGAATGGGCCCAAATCAAAAGATCATAACGTATTTTGATGCTTCAATACATAAAATAATTGGGTGATCAAATGATTTCCAAATATGACATGCTTATAATCGAATCGAGCAGCTCTATAAGCCGAATCCAATGAGCCCAAGTTGGATGAATACTCCATGATTAAGGCACTTCAATGTTGGATGAATACTCTATGATTGAGGGAATCAGTATAGACCGTCTGATGGAGTACTACAAATCTATCTTTGATATTCTTCATATTTATAGGACATATCACTTTCAGAATCTATAAATAGACCTTCTCTTCCCACATGAAGGTGGTATGGGGCCTTCGGAAGCTTGGATATTCGCCAGAGATCAAGAGAGGTATAAGACTTGAAAAATTGAGGGGCTCAACTCCGACACCACCACCGGTGAACCCTCATTGCCCTGCCACTATTGTCGAACCAATGCTTGAACATTGCTGTTGGACCTCGGTCAGGCCACCTCCACTGACTACAGTACTTATGATCACCTCTGTCGCCCGTTAACTACGATCCCTTCGACCACTGTCGTCTGCCATCTACAAACCCTCCAACCTCCGTCGCTCGCCGACTACGGTCCTTTCAACCACCATCTCATATTGACTACGGTCCCTCAAACCACCTTCGCCCATGACTACGGTACCTCCAATCACTATCGCTCACCAACTACGGCCCTTCCGACCTCCATGCAAACTACAATTGCCCTAACCTCCATTGCCCTCCGACTACGGTCCCCTTAACCTCCATTGCCCGCCGACTACACTCCCTGGCCTTAACCTTCATCGCCCGCCGACTGCAGTCCCTCGCACCATTATTGCTCGTCGACTATGGTACCTCCCACTACTATTGCCCGTTCACTACTGTCTCTCCGACCTCTGTCACTGGACAACGATCACTCCAACCACAGTCATCCAACTATAGTCCCTCTGAACATCGTAGCCTAACTACAGTTCTTTTGACATATGCCACTTGTCTACTACGATCCATTCAACCTCTATCACCCAACTAAGGTCCCTCCGACCACTGTCGCCCAACTTTAGTTCTTATAACCCCCGTCACTTGCTGACTATGCCCCCTCGGACCTCTATCGCCTAAATACAGGAACCAACCAAATAATCAAACCAACAGTCTCAAGAACAACTCTCCTTACAGTGGGTTATTTCAGCCCCAATCAAGTAAAGTGATTTATATGATGTACATTTGTTACATTGAGCCAACACCTTCTCCCAATAAAGGACATTATTTGTAATTAACAACAAATACTAGTGGATTTATTTAAACTGGGCAAGGTCTTGTAGTTTTTCCCTTTGTTTAAAGGTTTACATATAAAAAATATTGGTTTCACTTACTCTATCTCACCTGTCTGTGTGAGAAATTTTCATACAAAGGTATGACTCTAAACTCTGTATCTCTCTAACTTCGTGAATGTTCTAGGATGCAACAATATGATTTTGAAATTTTGATTATTATAATAGAAGAGAATCCAATATAACGTATTTTATTTATTACTTTAAAATATATAATTTAACTATTGTTAATGAATTATAAAATTATAAGATTTTGCCAATTTCTAAATATATTTACTTTTTTTCCCGTTCATCATCACCACCACCATCAACATTGCAACCACCATCATCATCGATGTCACCCTCAACCGCTACCCTTGGTGTAAATTACTGTTGTTGATGCCATCCATCATTTTGGACACCAACATTGCCTCCGGCTGGCACCGATCAGTATTATTGTCTGGCACCTACCATCTATGGCCCCCCTAAGATCTTAAACATTTAAAAATAAGGTTTATTTTACATCAATTCAAAATCAAATTATAAGTCGACTGAATGAAAAGAAAGATGCTACTTCAATAAAG